GGACTGGGCTGCCGGCCAATGGACATGTAATGACATTTTGTAGAATTGATGGGTAAATCCCACACTCGCGACCAGTGCATCAAAGAGTCCAGGTCTCTTTGCAGGGTGTTCACGTCACTCTCTGACTGGATGGGTCTCCAAATCTTCAGATCATCCGCGTACAATAGACATTCCGATTCCAGGCAGTCTGGCAGGTCGTTGATGAAAAGCAGAAATAGTATTGGCCCCAGTACTGATCCTTTCGGAACGCCACTAGAGACCGTTAACCATGGTGATCGTGCCCTTGACGCTTTCACCGAGAATAGTCTGTCCCTCAGAAAGTCATCTATCCATGACAGCATTTGGTCTTGTGGGTTTCACGCGTCACTCTACTGTGGATTATTTGATACCGTGGAATTAATAGGTATGCATACAACAAAACATTTCATTCAGGACAAGTTTTAACAAATCCCAGGATCACACGGGATAATTAATCAACGATCCAACAGTAGAGGCCAATTTCCCGTAGTTACGAAATTAAATCCTTCAATCCGCTGGCGAATTCCATGGGAAACGAATGACTGCTTCTTGAAGCTTGTAGACTACTTTCAGATGTGAGTAGTACCTCACAACACCCATACTATAGAAAGGCAAACATCCAAGATATATCATAGGATTTGGAGCGTGTGTAAGCGAGGCATGTCTCTCTATCATCTCCTTCGTGCTTCAACAGGTGGTTGAGGCTTTAACAGCACGTGGGCCTGACAACGCTGATGAGGTCAGCGGGGCGGCTTGAAGTGACTCTGGGACACTTTGAAACGGTAATCCAACAACTTGGATTGTTTGTGTCTAACGAGCTGTTTTTTAATCATTCCTGGTGCTATTCCTTATCGGAACCGACTTATTAACTTTGTGTGGTTGTCTTGGATGACTATTTCATAATTGATGATCATCAACAAGCACTGTGTACTGTATTCTTGTATCCCCGCTGAGCATCGAACCGCTAATCGTCCGGTTGGTTATAGTATTCATGAATATTTACCTATACAACTGGCGCCAAAACGCCTTGAGTGTGTTATATATGGCAACTGAATTATACCTTTGGATTTTCACTGTTTGTAACCGCAAGGATTCATTCATCTATGATGTGAATTAAATCACCGGTTGCAAATAACTTGTTTAATCGTAGAACTGAGGATTTCATTTCGCCAACTGAATTATAATTCACTGACGTTGAATAAGTATTACCTTTCGATCGTTATGCATGTGTAGAGTAAAATCAGTAATCGACAAAAATTACCAAACGGTTTACCAAATAAAAAATAACATGTTATTCGTTCTGTACAGAAACAGGAAAATGTACAATAATGTGTCAGTCAAGTGGTTTTGATTAAAAGCGAAATGAGCACACCGAATTTGGCCACGGTTGCCCACATTGGTTTGTGCATTGACTGAACGGATGTGAGGGGTGATGTTTGTTTCGGGGGAGGATCGTAATGTTGATTACATTTGGACGAAGAAATGATGAACCGGAGTAAGTAAATGAATGATGTATACATACAAAGGATTTGGAATGAGAGGTTAGCTTCTGATGTGTCCACCGCTCTTCTTAATTCGATTGACTCCATTACGTCACCCTTCTTCAACACTCGTTTGTCGGAGCAACTGATAGAATAAGGAAGGATGGGGCAGTGTAATCAGAAAGAAAACGTGACTTGAACCGCTACGGAACTTGACTCGATGGATCCACCAAACGTATTCAACACTTCGCGTTATTAACCCTGAATGAAGAAAATACTCTGCTAATAATTGCTTTTTGTTCTTCCCCGTTACATATGTTTATTAGTAATCCAACTAAAACAAAACACATTGTACATTTGTTTCCACTGATTCGCTTTCGATTCCTAAATAAACAGTTAAATGACTAGCCGTGAAAACGGTGGACGACAATCACAGTTCAAAAATTGAGCTATAAATGAAAGTGGAAAATGTCTCCTATTCCTGCTTTGGGGTTTGTCTTAAATACAGTGATAATCGGCTAATCCAAGTAGAGTAGTTGCCATGGCAGATACATTCACTTCACATTCTGGTTTAATGCACACAATGGGATAGTTATGAATGCCAACGACCCCTGCTTCCTCGGTGATAAGGTCAAGATACTTAATCTGCAGTCCTGATAGAGGAGTCAAAACGCTTTGGTCAAGTCTACTGTGTGACTTGACTCGTTACGGTATGAATGGGTGGTGCTTGTGACTGGTTTTGTGACACCAGTATGCGATTGTCTCCTTCCCCCACTCCTTGGTTGGATTCCTGTGAATCGAGTCCTGATTAGTCTGTGGTTGCAAAATGGCCTGTTTAACCCATTGAGACTGATAAAAGTATGATAGATAGACCCGAAGGGCTGGTTTTACAATCAAGTAGCCTCAAGCTACCGTAGGGGCAACAAGCGTTCTTAAATGATGATAATATGAATGGGAGTTTAATGTGATGAATTTCTACAGTCAATATTTACCACATCGGAGCCATGCATGAGTTTCAGCCTATTACCAGCCCTATGGTCCCAATTCAAAGATAAAATACCCATATTTCTGATTTACGCGTGCATTTTCACGTTTGCAAATTATCTACAACGGCAAGACAGTTTTCAGTGGGATTATATGCGAACCTCATCCCAGCTGTTTCAGCTGGGGTAAAATAAGGACCATAAAATGTCAGTTGGCAGCATTTATGGTGACTCGTTATCCAGTTTCTATTTATCAAGCTTTTCGCATCTTGTATTATTTTTAATAACAACACCCCCGATTTGTAATCTTAAAACACCAAATCCTTATTCTCTGGTAAAACCGGCTTTTCAAGGCTTGCGGGGTGCCGTGGATACAGCTGCAGAGAAAGACCATAATGCATTGCTGGGAGTTAAATCAACAGCTTATCCGAGACTGTTGATACCTCAACATGCATCAAATACCCTGAGAGCATTACGTGAAGCGACCTATTTGGATCCGAACAGTGCAGATATTGTAAAAGAAAGTTATTGCTTTGATAAGCCCATTCGATTTTGTTAGGCATGATGCACTTTTTATGGTTTTACTATATTTTGTTGTGATTTCCAATCCATCGATGCTTTGTGCGTACCCCACATATTCAACACATATTAGACCTTGGATATGTTCAATCGATTATATCAGACAATGCGATGGACCTACACGTTACACGGTAAGTGAAATTCTTCCGAAAGAAATCAACGAAGCATTAAATTTGACACTATTGACACGCCGAGGACGTACACACCCAAGTCACGTGACACAGTTACTGACGTTGTTAGTTGTTGCAAGCTTCAGCTGTCGCAGCATGACAGAAATAAGTTTTTACGGTTGATTTTCCCTGCACCCGTGTGATGACGACACATTGTGTGCAAGAGAATAAGGGCATGGTGTAATATGCGATTAAGGTGAACCTCTTTGTACATCCAAGGTTCAACCATCAACAGCCACACGTACAAAATGAATGGTGTACAGGGATAGAGAGAGGAAAGGAGTTCGATACTCTTTAGAATTTGCCGTGAAGGGGTGAGAAAAAGGGAGGGTACAACCGGTCTCATGTGATGAACTTACCACATCAAACTTTGAGAACGCGTTTAGATATTCCTGTTTCGATACAATTCCGTCTCCGTTCGCATCATATTTAGCGACAAAACTCTGAAACGAGTGACATTGTAGGAACAGAGGATAACAGAATGGAAAAACGAATGCATTTTTATGCGTGGTATTCTTTTTATCTGTCAAGGAATGCTACATAATGATAAAAAAATATACGACAAATGTAGAGTTTGATGAGTTGTCTACGGAACTGAGGGCGGAGCTGTGCTTTGAAAGTCTTAAGTCAAACTGTTCCCAATTCCATGGTATATCGCTCGCACTACACCAGGAGCATTAGTCTTCCGTATGTTTGGGTTACCCAAACATCAACACTGAATCGCATTTCCATTCAACCTCCATCGTGTATTTCATTTCCCTTTTTACCTTTGTGTCTATTTGCAATCCTAATATATTTATGGATGCATTAGTGACAATGGTCAATTTTTGGTGCATTATTCCCATCTTAACCTGGCATCCATTCAAAATTATTAGGTTGACTATGAACTGGGTGCGTATTATTCATATTAATCGATTCGGTTCATTGGAGGAAAGGATTATCTCCGGCTGCTCTTTGATTTCTAACCAGACAATCTCGTTTCCGAACCTTTTATCAAGTGCTCCTCACAAAAGGTTTTAGATTCTTTCCACTGTAATATTCCGCGATAGGTTTTATCTTGTTAATTCATAAAATTTGAGTATATGTGAATATGTGGATGGTTAGTTATGGACACGTTCAAGTCGTTCACTCCAAACTTCAGGTAACCCTTCCACATTCGACTCACATCTGCCAAGTGAATAGGAAGTCCATTTTCCCGGAGTTCTTCAGCAAATTCTTCTCGGGTTATTATTCCATCCTTGTTCCGATCGATTTTATTGAACCGAACTTCCAGATTTTGTAATTGATTTTCACTGAATTCAAATGAAGTCGATTTGAGAACGTTAGTCAGGTAATGAAAATTCACTAATAAAAAAATGAACCCTGAAAACTCTGCTTCACATTTCAATCTTGAAACCTTACCATCAACCCATCTTCTGAGTTTGCAAAACACTGCATAAACAAATGTTTCATTAATTCCACAATCGAATGCACTTTCCTTGTTTCATCACACTCGAAAGCTAAAGGGGTGAGTTTTATTGAATTTGTGCACCTCACAGGGTTCATCAGATTTATCCTCAATGAGTGAGGCAACATACATCGTAGAAGCTCGTTATGTAATCATCTGTGCGATCTTACACGGGTAATTTGGTTCTAATAATCAAAAATCTTATTATATGCATCTTCTTTTTCCATTCATTTGATCCGTAATGGATGATGAACTGGGCTGGATCATGTCACATTCAGGCGCACTATACACACGTGCACTGATCAAACTGAACTCACCGGATAGATTTAGTCATCATTCTTCCGCTTCGTCTGAAACGAGAAGAAAACAGTTCAAGTGAATTCGACAGAAAGAAAGTACGAAGGGTAGGGCGCATGTTAAAGGTTTACAATTTATCAGTGGTCGGTACCCTGGTAAGTATTTTGTAGTATTTTGTAAGTATTTTAAGAATGATGTACAGTCTATCGGTTCATGGTCTTGATGACTAGGAAAGAAACACATTTAGCTCGCTGTTTATTACCTTTAGTCACTCAGAACCGTGAGGCTATTTTGAAAACGATTGTTTATCACTTGTCTTCATCACTTACTACTATCACTACTATTACTATACAGAAATCTCCGTACTATTTACATAAATTCGAATAGTATAAGTAGCTAGTTCTTCATGTAGCAGTTGAATTTGATACAATATTACTAGACATAAAACAAGACAAAGAAAAACATTACCTCCATTAGCCGAATACCGCAAACAGTAATACTAAAAAGGCAACCGTTCAAATGCAATTTCATCGGATAGGATCTGATGGGTCGAAATACTTAGATGATATAACGTTTGCAATCCACTTAGTACATCCACGGTTTACTGATTATGATTATGATGATAATGATGATGATAATTTACGGTTAATGACGTTTAACCTATTGACCGCTGGCTTACCCTCGACGATTCATGTTGATCAGCTGGTAGAGTTCCTGCGGTTTACAGTTCCACAACCTATTTATTTAGGCCACCTGTTTTTTCTCTCCGCTAACGAATGAACGAATGTCTGTGTCTCACTCTGTGTCCTGACACCCCGTTTGTCTTCACGTGTGCCAAAAAATGCTCCTCTGACTGAAGGGTGTAATAACCTGACAGGGTGAGAAAACATTCACAATATACTGAAAACTGTGAGAATCCTTATCACCGATTGGCCAGTCGATGATATGCACACTTCAAAGCATCACGTGGTTTGTGCGGTCTACTCTGAGAGTGATTGACGAGAATCTTCCACAACTTTACTTCACAGGTTGTGTGAGACATATTTGGAAACGACAAAGCGCGTGTTTACATAGATGAATTTACGAATGCATTTGTTTTTATTATTTTAACTGCATATGATTTATTGATTCCTGTTGACAAAAATCACCTGCTACTGGGACAATCTGGATTTTCTCGTTCATGCTTCGAATTCCGGGTCATCAGATACTTAGAGGAAAAACGGACACGTTTTCTTTGCAGTTGGTCAAGTTCCATCCTCCCCAAAGGTTGGTGACCTGGAAAGTTTCCGCCTCTCTATTGATTGATTTTAAACAGCTTTGGTCTGGAAAAATCACACCGATAACTATTTCAATTCATTGTGTAACCCCGTCGCATTGACTAGATTCTCCACTAATTCGGATGGGCGTGATTGTTGGTGAACATTTTAGGTGATGATCATCGACAATACGAAAAGTAATTTGGGCCCCAAGGTCCACGGGGACAGCTATCAGAAACAAATCTATTTGAAGAGCTGTTTGACCTCTTTAGAACAGTCTAATCCAGTTGATGCGATCTTCTTTTTATTGGTAGGAACATTCTTCAAATGGGCTGAGAGACGAAGTTGATTTCATCACTTACTGGGATTTACCAGCTGTGTGGATGTGAAGCCACGGAATTACCATTCGGAAGCAGCAATCGTTTTGCTTGAGAACCACTGTCGATAGCTGACAATTATTCATTAGACTGGTCAATTTCAGATGCTTCTTTGGTGATAAAACGTTTTTTAACTGAATTCACTAGGAAAAGGTTTCTCAATGCGAACCAGAAGAACTTCGAGTAGCTTTTGCAGATCAAAAATGTACAGTCAGTCAGAAAATATCTCCAGTTGTTCTGTTGTTCAGATGATGGAAATCTAAAGCAACTTCTTTCTGAGTATCAACTTGATTTTTATTTATCAGTTTTCACGTGAAATCAATCAGAAATTAGTCACTCAGTTGTTTGTTTATTCTTAAACCGAATTGTCCGTTGCGGATTTTCGAAGTCCTAGGAAAGTAAGTTACTTAAGAATTTCGTTATTGAAAGGAACGCCTAATGCTGGGATCCTTGGGGTCGAGCAATTCTGTCAGAAGTATATGAGACATCGCACTTCAGTACCTGATGAATGCTAGCACGGAGAGAAACCGGATCCAAGTGAGTCATGTTCATCTGATAACTGGCTAATAAAACGTCATATAATGACGTGCGGCTAACAATTCCTCGTCGTTTGTGGAGCTTAGATGGCTCAGTTGACAGTGGAGTAACTCGAAACTACACTCTAATAATGAAATATACGTTTGTATTTAACTGACTCCCGTTTGATATTAGCGTTATGATTTGCGTTGCTCATTTATAGCAACATAATGTACTGATCTGTTTATTTTACAATCATCTAGCCAAACACGTTGTCAATACCGACCATGATCACTACAGCCTCTAAGAATGTTGCCAGTTTTTTCCTACTGAAGAAAAGTGCAGCATAAAGCAGTGAGATGCGTTCAGTGCATATCAATTCCAGTAATGGTTCTGTTCAATTTCAGCGATCGGAAAAATGATACATTTTCAGGATCTAAATAAACCAGCATGGCCTCTTATGACGTATCCTGTCCCCCGAAGAAATTTGCAATTCAGTAGAAAACTGTGACGAACCAAATATAATTGATTCCACAAAAGAATATTTATGATCGGACGAAAATGTACCTGATTTTCTCTACACCCTTGGTCTTACCCATTTAGAAATTGTGAGAAGACAGGGAGGTTTATAGGAGAGAATTCATCACGAACACTGTTCGATGAAGGTCCAATCCTCATTGAGGTCAGATTAATGAAATACCTCGCCATTATTGGGAAGATTAGTGAACTTCTGATTTTGGCGCATTCAATGATGATTATAAGGATTTAGGTTTCAGACTCAAACCCAGTTGCGTGACCTCAGCTTTCACATAGCTTATTGGTGCCATTTGCGTTTCATTAAACCAAGTCGTGTGGATTGGGTTGAGGCTTAACTAAACAGACTATTGTTATGACAACAGGGTTTATCCCTGTGAGCGACTCTGAACTCTTCCCAGGACGATCAAATAAGGTTATGGCTATTTGAGCACATGAAAAGCAGAACTTTAGGCTGTAATATAAATCGTTTCAGACAATTATTTGAAGTTTACCATTCAGGCCCTCGCTTCAAATTTCAGATCATTCCTGTATAACGTCAATGACTTTTATGCGTTCACAATATTCGACTCTTGAAATGAAAATATTTTTTCGAATTTTTTTGGATTATTTTGTAAAATAAAACCAACTTATTTTTATAACTGTTTTTTTGTTATTAGTTTTGCAAATCACGAGATTGAGACCAAAAATAATAAAAAGTCTCTTCGTAGAACAAAACAGCAAAATGCGATAAAGTACGATCAAGTTCCGCACGTGATGAAAAATGAAATGTTGAAGAGATGTTTTTAATTTCATTCATGTTATCGATTCGCAACAGTGAGTCAGTTCCGTAAAATATGAAGAAAGGACTGTTAAAATAGCTAATCGAACGTAAGATGGGTTTCTCTTCAGCCTGGTTGGTTCACTGCCAAAATAATGACGTTGTGCTAGTGTCGCGTCAACACTGCTTTAAATATTCGATATCGTGGGGTGAATATAATAGAATTTGTGTTATTTGTTTGCATATATTTCACTGCAATCACCTGTTTGCATGGTTCAAAAAAGCAATGTTTTTTTTATGATAAGAATTGAGTATGCACATAACCTCTGGTTCTAGTTGTGGTTGAATCATAATTACCGGTTTAAATACTCAACTGCTGAATATGGGTATATGCATTCAAATCACGCACTCATTCATGGGCAGAGGGACTAGGTATTAATGCGGTTTAGAACACAATTTCAGGTGAACAATTGTTTTCATAATCATGCCTTGTCATGTCACGACGGTCGGGAACAAGAATCAAAAGTACACACTGATAAGGTGGAAAAGAAGGACCTGTTCATTAGTCTTCCGTTTAAGGGTGAAGTTGCCGCTGAAATCCTCATAAGACGACTGAATGGAGCGGTAAAAGCCACATTCAGCGCCGCGAACCTACGCTGCTCTTTCAAAAGTTCGTTACTGATAACCCTACGGAATAAAGATAAACTACTGATGGTGACCGCTTCAATAATTGTCTACTGGTTCAGATGCGTTTGTGATGCACTCTACGTCGGTCGTATGGCACGGCAGTTATCCATCACCATCGGCACTGGCTGGGTCGAGCTGGCTCCGGATCTGTCACAAGTGCAATTCTCGGTCATCGGTCATCGTGGTAACCCAAATGAATCTTTCCACATAATTTATCAGGTCCCCCTCCAAACCGGTCCAAATATGTTGGAATGCGTACGTTGGCCACAGCCGAGGCCAACTGTATTAGGCATTTAACCCTCAAACTATG